TGTATATATCATTTTCTCTTTGAGCCAAATCTGATGAGAGTAAAGTTGAAACAATGCTGACCCCACCCCCTTTTGCTCTACTGTAATAGGTCTTTCATGCCTCTTTATGTGATATAATTTACCCAATTCTGCCTCATCCTCTCCTCTTCTCCCAGTACAATCTTGTTTTTCACCTCTTAATATTTTTTATCATCACATCAAAGTCAGCTTATACTCACACTCTATATAGTATAATTCTTCTAAGTGCCCTAATAGAGATACAATTCTTAAGAGTTACAAATATCCTCTTCCCATGTAGGGATGTAAACAGTTTAACCTTATTGAATACCATGTTGTTGTTGTTTCTTTCTTGTTTATCTTTTTATGCTTTTCTTGAGTATTTGAAGATAAAATTTTCTATTCAGCTCCTTTTTTTCATCAGGAAAGTTTGAGTCCCCTAATTCATTGAATGTGTCCATCTTTTCCCCTGGAAGATAATGCTCAGTTTTACTAGGTAGTTAATTCTTGGTTGTAATCCAAGTTCTTTTGCTTTCTAAAATATCATATTCTAAGCCCTCAAATCCTTTAATGCAGAAGCTACTAAGTCCTGTGTGATCCTGACTGTGACTCCTTGATATTTGAATTGTTTCTTTCTGGCACCTTGCAGTCTTTTTCCTTGACAGGATAGTTCTGGAATTTGGCTACAATATTCCTTGGAATTTTCATTTGGGGATCTCTTTCCGAAGGTGATTGGTGGATTCTTTCAAAGGCTGTTTTACCCTCTGGTTCTAGGATATCAGGGCAGTTTCCTTAATAATTTCTTGAAAGATGCCATCTAGGCTCTTTTTTGATCATGGCTTTCAAGTAGTCCAGTAATTCTTAAGTTATCTCTCCTGAATCTGTTTTCCAAGTCAGTTATTTTTCCAATGAGGTATTTTTACATTTTTTCCCCTATTTTTTCATTTTTTTTAATTTTGTTTGACTGATTGTTGATGTCCTATAGAGTCATTAGCTTCCACTTGCCCAACTCTAATTTTTAAGGAATTATTTTCTTTGATTAGCTTTTGTACCTCCTTTTCCTTGGTCAATTCTTCTTTTAAAGGAGTTGTTTTCTTCAGTGTTTTGTTTTTTTTTTGCATTTGGCCAATTCTCTTTTTTAAGGAGATTCTCTTTTTTTCCAGTCAGTTTTGTGTTTCCTTTTCCAAGCCATTAATTAATTTTTTCATAATTCTCTTGCATAACTCTGATTTCTTTTCCCAGTTTTTCTTCTACCTCTCTTATTTGACTTTTTAAAATCCTTTTTGAGTTCTTCCAAGAGAACTTTTTGGGCTTGAGACCAATTCATATTCCCCTTTGAGGCTTCCCATGTAGGCATTTTTACATTCTCATCCTCTCTTGAGTTTGTGTTTTGATCGTCCCTGTCACCATAGTAGCTTCCTTTGGTCAGGACTCTTTTATGTTTTTTACTTATTTTTCAAAGTTGAGCTCTGCTCCTGGGGTAAAGGGAACATTGTTCTAAGGTTCTTGCACTGGGGGGCCAGAGCTCTGGTCACTGACTTTCTGTGCTGGGGCCTCTGGGGCTGACAGCTTGCCCACTGTGCTGGGGTAGTCCTGCCTAGTCATGCCTATTGTGCCTTGGGTTCCAGTGCTGGCAGTTTGCCTGCTGTGCCAAGGCTGGAGGCCTCACAGCTGGCCTGCTGATCCAGAATCATGGGGCCTTAGTTGCTGATCTGTGCTGTGGCTAAGGGCCTCCTGCTGGCTTGGCCAGACACTACCTGTGCTGGGCTGCATTCCTCTTTTACTCAAGTGAGACAGACCTTTCCTGAAGTCTTCTAAGTATCTCAGGCTGGAAAATTGTTTCACTCCATCTTTTTGTGGATTCTGTTGCTCCAAAATTCTTTTAGAGGTTTGACTTAATGTTGTTTCTGAGTGGAAATTGGGAGAGCCCAGGCAATTTCCTGGTTTCTCTCTGCCATCTTCCACAAGGGTTATTAATCATAAGGCTTAAATATTTTACTATTTTGGGAATAGTGTAAGGAGAAGAAGGAGAAAGATTGACCTACACATTGACTAGAACCATTGGTGGCGGTCCTCTTTGGTAAACAGGCCTTACAAAAACATTAATACATTGGGAAAGAGTGAGAGGGAAGGGTGAACATTCAGTCTGCTTTTTAGTAATCCATTCCCAGTGTCAGTTTCATCAGTTCATCACATCTTTGGGCTCAGACGTCTTATGCAGCCACCTCCTTTCTGAAAAAATACGCTTCTTTTATGTGAGATAATTTACTCCATTCTACCTTTCCCTTCCCCCTTGTCCCAGTGCATTCCTCTTTCTCACCCCTTAATTTAATTTAATTTTTTTAGATATCATCCCATCATATTCAACTCACAGCCATGCTCCCTATGTATGCTGCACCTAACTGCCTTAATAATAATAACATTCTTAGAAGTTACAAGTATCATCTCGTCATATAGGAATGTAAATAATTTAGCCTTATTGAGTCTTTTAAGATTTCTCTTTCCTGTTTGCCTTTTTCCTTCTCTTGAGTCTCTTTGAAAGTCAGATTTCCTTTTCAGCTCTGGTCTTTTCATCAGGAATGCTTCAACGTTCTCTATTTAATCTCATGTCCATTTTCCTCCCTCTAGGATATTCAGTTTTGTTTGGTAGGTGATTCTTAATTCCCATCCTCATTCTTTTGCCCTCTGGAATATTGTATTCCAAGCCTTCCAAGCCTTAAATGCAAGCTACTAAATATTGTGTTATCCTGACAATGGCTCCATGATATTTGAATTGTTTCTTTCTGGCTGCTTGCAATATTTTCTCCTTGTCCTGGGAGCTCTGGAATTTGCTAACCTTCTAAGTTGTCTTGGACTGGAAAATTGTTTCACCTCATCCTTTTGTAGGTTCTGCAGCTCCAGAATTTGTTTTGAGGTGTTATTTTTAAGTTGTTTAGAGGGGAATTTGGGAGAGAACTTAGATGTGTCCCTGCCTTTGTGCTGCCATCTTGCCTCCAACTGCCCCCTGCCCAATCACTTAACTTCTTAAGACTGGTATTCATTTATTCCTTCTTTTCCTCAGATTCAAGCCCCACAAAGGGAAAGAATGTCAGTTCTACTACCTTTAACTGCCTTGTGACATAAGTAAACAAATTGTTATATTGATATAGTTAGGAAAATTTAAATAACAACTAAGAAGAACTAATCTTCAAACTGCCTGATTTATGCAGAGGTTGAACAATACAATTGCATATAAAAATTCTGAACCTAATTTTTAGAACTTGTTATTAAAACATGCTCAAGACCTTTGTATCCTTTTAGAATAATTTACATTTGACATATATAATCATCTGATCTTGTTGCTTTCTTAAAAAAATATCTTCACTCTAGCCATTCACTCCAATGGCCCATTTTCCCCTTAGAAGGATGAGATACTGCTAAGGATGTAATCCTTTACATAAGCACATAGCCATAAAAGTCACCTGCTTACAAAGAGTGTTGTTACCAAAGTTTAATGGCCACACAAATGAATTTACCTAAGAGATGCTTATTTTACTCCATTTGTAACAAAAGATCTGGTATGGAATATGTACATTTTGGTTGTTAGGTTGTTTCAGTTGTGTCTAATTCTTTATGAATCCAGATACACGAATGTTTTGCCATTTGCTTCTCCAGCTGATTATATAGATGAGGAACGGAGGCAAACAGGGCTAAGTGACATGTCCAGGGTCACACAGTTAGTAAGTATATGAGGCCAGATTTGAATTCAGGTCCTCCTGACTCCAGGCCTGGCACTTTATCTACTGCATCACCATGTATATAGAGACTAAGGAACTGATTTCAAATCGTACCAAATGAATATAGTAAGCCATGTCCAGTTATTAACCATATTCAAATGAAATAAATACCAAATCCCATAGCTCACTGCTCTTAGACACTCTCTAAGCATGTTTGATATATTAATATGTAACTTTTTGTGTATTTAATATTTAATGTAACTTTTGTGTAATTTGCTTACACTTCAGAAGATATATGCAGGTTTATTTCAAAGACCCAACCTTACACATGAATATATAACTAATAGTAGGCAGATGACAAACCCAAGTACTCCTCAACTTAGTTCTTTAGGATGTGGAAAGGACTATAACTTCATGTTGAATAACTTTGATCTTATATACTTGAATCTCATCATAGTAACTTTAATGTGTTCTAGTATTAGTCTATTAGATAAAGATTTAATATTGGGTTTATATCTTCTACTGACCACCTGCCATGATTATAAAAATTTTCCATTAAAGGAAAAAGAGGGCTATCGCTATAATAAGGGAAAGTGCTGCTGTTTTAATTCAAGGCAAGAGTCACCTAGGCAGCCAACTGTATTCACAGGATATCACAGCCAGGTTCAGAATTATCCAGGTCGGAATTTATTTCTGTTCATGAGGAAATATTACACTGGGGAATCAAGTCAAGAGAGTCTTAGCCATGCCAAAAGTCTCTCTTCCAACTTATCCCTCAGACAGAAATAGCTCATGTAGCAGTTCACAAATGTCACTCAAAAGGGCTGCTGGCATTGTGGATCATTGGCTGAACGACATCTTCTGGTGATCAAACCTGGAATCAGACTCAGAATAATGTCAATTACAGTCCCATAAGATTTAACCTTAAACAGAAGGTTTCACTAATCATAACTTAAGACTGTACTCAGTTACTAATATTGAATAAGTATTGCATATTGACCTGTTAATTAAGTCCCTAAGACTGGACTCTGTTAAGGCTAAATTGAATATATACCATTCCAGGTATAACTTCATAATTTTAATAATCACAAATCAGAAATCATCCCATATACTGGCTCCTGTAATATAAACTTTGTCAAGGAGTGTTAGGAATATAAGAGGGATCTCATTTTCTCAGTACCCATATTCTGGAGTTTCACAAGGTATGAGAAAGACCCTTTAAATTATAGATTCCAGATTTTTCCATTGTGAGTAATATTCCATTTCATCCACTAGTAAAATTCTAAAACTGCCTTACACAAAGAGTTGAAGCTGAAGGTTCAATAGGTGAAGTAATAATCCGGGCATCTGCTATCGGAGTGAATTCTAGTGGCCGGTAGAAATAATTCAGCCTGTTAGGAAGACTATCTCATAATGTGGTAAGAAAATGCAGCAAAGGTAAAACTAAGGTAAGTTTTCCAGGAAAGATAACAATTTATTAACAGTGGTGAATATAACTTAATAAAATGGGTCAAACTGTACCCCCTCAGTAGGTCAGTGACCACAGTGGGACTGAAAAGACCATATTTATGGAGACCCCAAAGGTGACGGTGGTGGAAGGAGAGACTCAGCTAGAGAAAGAGGAGTCAGGTGTGGCTGATCACATGTCTTTCTGACAATTATGGAATGCTAATTGCTTTATGAGACTCAGCTACCTCTAATAATCTTAGCTAGAGAAATAAAACGACCCCAGTCATGATCCTCCACCCTCCCCCTCCCTTAGCCTTCCCCTTGCCATTTCAGGCTTTATTATGTGCGCTTTGCTCTAGGCTTTGCCATTTCAGGCTTTGCTGCTAAGTCAGGTGGAAAATGAAGTCAGGAACTTCTTTTGGAAGTATCAACCCTTTTCTGGGGCCCCTAGAGTAGGCTGGAAAAAAAACTATTCCCCAGCCATGACCTAATGAATGTATTAAAGTTTTGGTCATGGCTACTTTGGAGACATTTTAGTTTACCTTCTCACTATTTAACAACGAAGTCACAGAATTTTCAGCAGGAAGGGACATCAAGGATCATCTTATTCTTCATTTTACATGTGACAATCTAGGTATTTGCTTGATTGACATGATTCCTCTTCTACACAGCTCTTTCAAAATTACCAGTGGTGATTCAGTGATTTACAAGTGTTTTCAGGACCTTGGAATAGCCACCATAATAATGATATCATGCTGAGTTGATGATAATCAACTCAATATTGGTGAAGCATAAAAAGGAAGTCAGGAGTCCTGCCCCTTTATGACTTTGTTCTAAAGAGAAAAATAATATATAAGCACATGCCTTTTAAAAAGGTATTTTAGATCTGGAAGGTACCTTCGAGTTTATTTAGTCCAATTGCCTAAAGAGATCTAGAAATGCTGAGTCCTTCTTGTGAAATTGATTAGCTGTTTGATTCTGGGCAACTTCTCTGCCTCAGTTTCCTCATCTGTAATATGAGAACAATGATAGCACTTACCTCATAGATTTGTGGGATAACATGTGAAAGCTGTTTTCTAACCTTCAATAGTTGTGTATAAATATTAGTTGTTACTATGATGGTCATTAAGTCAATTTCACAAAGTTCTGTAACTCCTTAGAGGCAAACCCAAGGAACCAGGAGTCAAAGGCTCTTTCCTGTGCACCACACTGCCTGCCTTGTGTGTCCAGCATTCTGGCTGCTCAATGAGTACTTCAGAAAAGCAAGGAGTTTTTTCTTTTCTGTCTTATAAAATTTACAGCTCTCCTTAGCACAGTCTCTACCCTCCATGGATTAGCATAATTTTGTTATCTCACCGAACATGTGGCTGTTTAATAAGTGCCTAAAACAGTGGCTTTTAGGGAGTAAGTGTTCAACAAATATTTGTTTGGCTGATTATATGCAAAATAACTCCTGTCTGAAGCCAAATGGGAGAGACAGGATAAACTCACAATTGAGGAAGAGAATGATTCATCAGAAATTGCACTGACAGTTTTGTAAAGATCAAGGGAGTCACACCCTGCCTTGCCTGCTGACTGCACAATTAGCAGATTTTATGAGATATATGGATCAAAACTGAAGAGGATAGGAGAAGAGATAATGGTTGTGGAAAAATCACAGATGGGAGGCTCTAAAGGCCACATTTACATGTTTACTGTTTCAAGCTAGACTATTGATTTTGTGTGAACTTGGGCAAGTCACTTAAGCTTGTGTGCCTCAGTTTCCTTATCTGTAAAATGAGCTGGAAAAAGAAATAGTAAACCACTTTAGTATCTTTGCTAAGAAAACCCCAAATGGAGTCACGAAGAGTCAGACACAACTGAAAACGACTAAATAACAACAACATTGGCTCCTTTTCTCAATTTCCTTCTTTGTCAATGATTTAGCATTTTCTCAATTACCTAGGCATAAAACTCTGCAGTTACCATTGATTCTCCCTCCTTCCCATCCTATTAGCCAAAAGATATTGCTGATTTGTCCTTTGAAATGTTGATTATCTCTGCATATGAGAAGCAATATGGCCCAGTGGATAGCAGAGAGGAATCTGATGATAGAAAGCCATATGTTCAAAATCTTGCTTTCCACACTTACAGGCTGTCAAATTATAAACATAACTAAGTCATTTAGTCTCACTTAGTCTCAGTTTCCTCATCTTGTGAATCTTAAATAAGTGTATGCAAGGTATTTTGTAAATGTTAAAACACCATGTAAATGTCTGTTATGCTATTGCTATTACTGCTGCTGCTGCTGCTACCACTACTACTACTACTACTAGCAATAATATTCACACAACTTGCATTTCCCTAGTCCATGTTCTAATCACCTCACCTTAGATTATTACAATAGCATCTGAACTGTCATCTTCTCCTTCCCTGTGCCTCGCCCCTGACTCCCACCATCTTTACTCCATACACTAAACTGCCCTGCACATCAATGATATGTTACTCTTCTGAAGCACTGTTCTAACCACATCAATGTGCTACATAATGATTTGTAGGGATGCTGGCAGGAATGTATAAGAAACATAGGAATATAGAATAGAAAAATAGCATGAAGCTGGAGGTCTACTCCAAGTGGTTCTTTGTGGCTTCCCCAAAGTTGATTCACAAGGCAACAAGGGATATTTGGAGAATTAAAGAGAAATCTGTCACCCCAACTCTGTAGAGCTTCTTTGTAGTTTTCTAAATGGAGTATCTGTGATCTTTTGTGGTGATACAGAATAACAACAGGGCCATGATGGGTTGAAAGGAATTTTCCAACCCCTAGTCAGATAGAAGACTAGGATTAGGGAGCTTAAGTTCAGCAACAGAAAAGCCACTGAAAGGACAGACAATATTAGCTTGAGGGATTTTGTGAGATTTTTATAAAAAAAATATTTTATCAGTGTTCTTTCCTTGAAAAATAAAGGTTGTAAAAACAGTGAATATAGTAGTTTGATGTTTACAGATTAGGTAACATTCAGTCCCCCCTAGTCTCTGGTCTTTTCTGCTGCTGTCTGGCTGGGTAAAGTTGAACAATACTCTGAGATATAGCTGAAAAGTTAAGCCCTCCCCTTTCAAAAGAGAGACTGATTGGCCTGTGAATTCCAGCAGATGGTAGCAGAGACCCAAAGAGTGTTGAGAACCATCCTAGCAGAGAGCAGTGAAATAATCTAGTAGAAGGGAGAGAAAAAGCAGAGAAAACAGCTTATCTGATGACATCACCAATGCTTAGCTACATTGGCATCATGAGCTGTCCCAGGAATATGCTTGCCCTGGCAAGAGGGGTTATGTACTTATGTCTCCCACAATGCATGTTCCAATGTCCTTGGGTGGTATGGTAACATATGGGAAAGTATACCTTGTGTGTGTAAGGAAAGGTTACTCATCACTGAGCTTGCTATGCTGTTCAATTACATTTTTGTTTTGACTTGATATGTCCTCTGGTTGGCTAGTAAAAGAATGACATTGATGGGGCTCATGAGGTGTGTGTGTGTATGTGTGTGTGTGTGTGTGTGTGTGTGTGTGTGTATTTTAATAGATGCCAATACACAATCACAACATACTTTGAACTTGTAGTAGCATTCACATGAGACCACTGGTGTTACACTAATAATAATAATAGCAAACTGATATAGTACTTGAAAGTTCACAAAGCACTTTACAAAAATTATCTCATTTGATCCTCACAACAACCCTGTTAGGTAGGTGCTATTATTATCCCCCTTTTATGGCTGAGGAAGCTGAGGCCAAGAGAGAGGTTAAGTAACTTACCCAGGCAGGGATCACAAAATGAAGTAAGTATCTGAAGCAAGATTTGAACTCAGGTCTTTTGACTTCAAGTTGAACACTCTATCCACTGCACCTTCTAGCTAGCTACCTTTAGTAAGCTATAATGGAACACTTTTAATGAATGGCAATTGGCTCTACCTTCTCTTTTCTTCTTTGCCTCTAATTACTTCCCAGTATAAATTTTTTTTTTTGCTTTTATCTAGGCTCATATTTTCATTGTTCCCCCTAAAACTCCATAAATAATCGAATTTCCAGGATATTGTTGTGCCATGCTCCTGTTCTCTACCTATTCAAATCTTACCTATTTTGCAGTCCAAGTTTTACAGAACAAATTCTTTTATTTAGAGGATTTGTTCTGTTAAGTTTGGATTCAGTGAAAGGGCAGCACTTGGAGACCTAGTGAGCCACATGTGGCCTTGAGGCCGCAGATTCCCCACCCCTGGGAAGCCCCATTTCTTTCTGGCTGAAGCCTCATTTCTTCCATGATGCCTTTCCTGACTTTACCAGCCCAAGTTCACCTCTCCCTCAGCTCACTCTTAATTTACCCACTCATTTTTTTTTTAAATATTTAACATGTGATTGTCTTTCCATCCCTAAGAAGTTCATAAGATCCTTGAAGGCAGCGGATGAATATTTTACTTCTTTTGTATCCACCTCATCTAGTGCTATGCATTTCATAGTTATTCAATAATAACAAATCATATTTATATTGCACTTCAAATCTTACAGCTCTTTTCCCCTTACAATAACCCTGAGAGTTAGAATGTGGACATCTATAACATGTTAAAGCTTACAAAGGACTTACTTACATTATCTGATTGGATCTTACAACTCTGTTAGTTAAGTGGTGCAAGAATTAAAGCCCCCACTTTTCAGATGAGGAAAATGAGGCTCACAGTTGTTGAAGAGGTGATTGCGTTGAAGTGCCTAAAGGTGGTCCAAAATTCAGCCTAGATGTTCTGACTCAAAGTCCAGTGATCTTTCCAGTTTACCATCCTTCATCTCAATAAAGACAGTAATGTCTCCTTTATCTGAGATTCTGAACTTCTACGTGGGAGATTTTTACATCACACTTCCTATAGTGCCTCACAGCTAAAAACAGTTTAATGGCTATCTGAAGAGGGAAGGGAGACTGAGAATACCTTTGTATATCTGACCTACTCATCATTTTACCTAAACCCAGCTCTGC